CCTACACGAGCAAGCAGACAGGAGCAGAGTGGTGATCAGCTGGATAGGAACCTGCCCCCGGACCCCAGAGGACAGGTCCCTTACCTCTGCACCTCTGCGGGGGTCAGCCAAGGAGCCTCATGTGATTTCTGGGGCCTCAGAGCAACCTCAGAGCACCTCCCTCAAGCAGCTCCTGCTGACAGTGCTTACATCTCCGATGTCCAGCTCTGGAGCCTAGACCAAGGGTCCCCCGTGGCTGGCTCTGCATCTGCGCTTGTTCCACCTGTCCCACTTCCCACTAGCCATATGGGCCTCCTGAGGCCTCTTACTGCCCCGTCCTCTGCTCCTCCCAAGTCCGGCTGTGCCAGGCACCATCCTCTACGGGGCTTCCCACGGCCCTGCTGCACGGACTTCTCGGTGCCACCATCCACCCCTCAACCCTCCTGCAGGCGCCAGCGCGTACCTCTCATGGGGCGCTACCATCCTTGCACACCCAGGGACCCGGCGTGCAGGCTCTGTCCCTGCCAGGCCCTTTGAAGTGGCCATGGTGGGCTCGTCCACTGGTGGCTGGTCCTCCTCCTTGCTCTCCACCCCCTGGACTGGGCGCCTGGACAACTGCTGGTCTTTATAGGGTTCACCCTCCAGCTGGCCCTGCCTGCCTGCTGGCTGCACAAGCCTGCTCCCTGGGAAAGCCCCTCCCGTATGCGCAGAGCCTGGTGAGGGCTCAGGGAGCTCAGACGCCAGGCCTCTTTGCTCTAGGGGCTCAGGCCCATGTCATGGAGCACTTCTGGGTGGCCTTGTTTCTCACCCCCCTGGAGCTCCATGGGCCCCACTTGCAACTCACAGCACCACCAGCCACTCTGGCCAGTGTCAGCTCCAGCTCGTGTACCATGTCCAGGGGGCCTCCTGCAGGTTTCCGAGCATCTGCCTTCCCCTGACCAATTGCCCTCTCTCAAAGTAGCAGAGGGTTCTTGCCCAAAAGGCCATTAGTCACCTCACTCGGCCATGTGCAAGGCAGGGCCTTCTCAGAGCAAGGTCCCCTGTGAGCGGCCTCCGGCTCTCCCTGACCTGCCTTCCCACTCCCAGCACTCACTAAACCCTGGCCTGCTGGGGCCTGGGCCCTGCTCCCAGATACCCCGCCTCCAGCCGGTCTGCACCCCTGACCTCTGGCCCCAGCCCACCTCGCTAATCTTTCCCTGAGGGCTTTCTGCTTCTGACATCCCATCTCTGTGGTTACGGCTTCCCCATGAGGGCCCACGAGGGCAGGGGCTGTGTGTGCTGGGCCCACAGTGCTCAGAGCAGGGCCTGAGTGGAAGACGTGTGCGCCCAGCCAACCCCTGAGGCTGCCTGGTTCCCTGCCTGTGGAAGTGTGAATGGTGACCTGCATGACTGACGAACTCACAGTCCCTGAGGGTCGTGTGGGGACTGACAAGAAAGCTGCAATGACACCAGCCTCACGTGACTGTTGTGAGACTCAAAGTCAGGAGCAGGACACATGGGACGACCGCCGTCACACCATGGCCCACATGCCTGTTCTTCCACCCGGGGGGCCTTTGCTTCACAACAGAGATAAACTTACAGAGGAAGAGGATTAGACCAGATTCGATTTCCCACTTCATGAAAACGAATGCCCCAAAGCACAAGCTTGCAATACGGATTAATCCAATCATATCCAAGCTCAAGCCAAGTGACAGATCCGGGGCCACCACACAGGTCAGACAGGACACCGACATGGGGGAGAAGCTAGTGGAGGACCTGTGCCTGGGGAAGCTGCCGTTCAAGGCTTGTTCTAAAAACCGAAGCCTGTAACCGTGCCATAAGGCTTCTCCGATGGCAGGCTAATTCACAGTTACCCAAACAGT